TTTTTTATTCCCCCCCCCCCCCTCTTTGGCCAGTTTTACCATCTCACTTTCCTGATTTTTCTTTTTCTTTTTACCCTTTCACAGCTGCTCAGCTCTTCTTTTGTCTAAACTGTCATGCTATGTCTCGTAGTTTGTCAGCATGAAAGTGTGGTGGTTTTGTATTTACTCTACTCCGGGCTATTTTATCCGTAGTTTGCGTGCACCTCGTCTCCTCTTTAGATTAGGCCTGTAATCCCCCAGGCCTCATGGTGCTCCACTTGTCCACTCTCTCTCAGCATCCTGCACCGTCACCACCACCACACCCCTAGTGTCTTTGTACTCCTCATAGCTCTCCCTCCCTGTCTCTCAGCTATTATCTCATGCTCTTTGTCTTTCTGAGTGAGAGGGGATATGACACACGGGGGAGGGGAGATCATGTATTATTCTAAGCCAGTAACACGAATATAAAAAACTGTAGGAAAGTTGGGCAGGTCGTGGTTCATTTGTTGTAGAAGTTCCTTGTTCATGTGTAGCTTAATACAGCACCTGACTGCTTCACTGTGCCTTTAGAGAGCTCTGATTGCAATCTGCTGTAAGAGCCAGCCGTCTGTGCTACTTTACTGGCGTAACGCCAAGTCTGGCTCTTAGAGTCCTCAACAACTTTGCTACCAGCCAAGAGGGGGCAAAACCAATGAGCCATAGGGCATGCTTTTTATTAAAACAGAGTTGCAGAAAGTCCAGAAACCGCATCAGCTGCTGTCGATAGCAAGCCATTGCCAGAAACCCCAAGGCTACTACAGTTGCAGAACAACTGCCAAGCACTATAAATCTGAGATTTAGTGTGACGCAAAGTTTCCTTAAGAGCTTAATTTCTGAAAGCTACTGTATTACTTCCCTCCTCCCTCCTAAAGTGCTGTGTTCTTAGGTGAAACCCACTTGAGGAAGCCAATGTTAAGATAGAAGTGTGATCTTGATGAATGAAAGGAGCTGCTCCGTGTGTGGGTTGCTGGCGAGCTGCCATGTCTTTGGGGGATCATAGAAATTATTGATGACACTGAACACTTGTATGCATCTCCACAGCTGATTCAACATGGAAAATG